TGTTTAAATAACATTGCGATTGGCATTAGAATAATATATTGAAACATTGAATAATTAAATAATGAAAAACTATAATTTAATACAAATATGTGTATTAACATTAAAATTACATAAGTTTGATGAATGTAACAAATAAGATTGTTATTCTTATTTGCACTAAAATATATGATACCCAGATGCCACACTGTTCATGCATTGATGTGTATATGTAAAATAAAATAAAAAACTTGTGGGGGGGGAGAGGAATGGGGACGATGTTTCTCAGGGTGGGTGCCATAGCAAAACACACTAGACTCCTGGGTCCTGTCAGCTTCTTAGCAGACAGGACCCATAGCATATGGGACACATGTAGAACATTCCCTTTTATGTCACTACTATGAACTTCAGCAAGGATGGCAAATGATGAATTGCATGTTCAAAAACAAACTCTGCACCTTATGAACTAATGTTGCAATATTGCATGGAAGCACATAAGAAGTAATGTAACAGACCATATTTTATCATTTTTATAAAATCTTGAACTTGTTTAGATACCCCTGTATATTACCCAATGGCTTCTCCAAAAATACTGAGTTTGCTTTCTGATGCCTAGAAATCATAAAAGCACTTCATTCATGAATTATTTTAAGGCTTTTCTTAAGCATGTTCTGCAAGTCACATGGTGACAACCAAAAATTCTCATCACTGTATGTTAGGCTAATTTATTTCACTAATACCCTGAAGAGAAGGGTTTTTAGACTTGACTTGTTCTGCACATATGTGGTGAATGAAGAGCCATTTATCAAGTAGAAGTAGCTAAAAGAGAAGGTCTTGAAAATGCCTACTTTGGTGTTTTTAGATAACTTGTGCATTTATGGGTGTTCCATTCTTAGAACATAATTGATTGATAATACACTAACCATGAGTGAAAGAAAAGCCATACACTAACCATGAGTGAAAGAAAAGTTTTTGTATTATCATTCATATTCTCTGAAAAATGGCCAAGAAATCATAAATTCTGCCAGGTTATATAAACTTATGAGGACAACTATATGTAGATATTTATTAAAGGTGCTCTTTCAATGCAGTTAACTAAGTGATAAAACAACTATATAGTTGTTACTAAAAATTGTCCATCAAGCATTCTTATAATATCTGAAGCAAGTAAGTAGATCTTTTAGGATGTTTTGGAAAAAATGCAAATAGGCCTGATGTATTCCAGCTGGAAATGAGTGCCATTAAATGTTGTGTAATCAATGAAAAAGTTCTACTTGTCAGCTGACTGATCAAGATTATAAAAAAAAAGAGGGCCTTTGGCATTATTTTCAAGTGTGAGCATGCTATTCCAAAAGCTCATCCCAAATTCTTTTAAGACCTGATTGTACTTTAAACCAGCTTTTTAAATCAGACCTAGAAACACTATGGCAAGGCAGCTGATATGAATCATGAATACCATAACTAGATTATAGCACACAACCATGCTAAAATTCTGCACTAGTTAAAATTTCTGAACTATCTTTAAAAACAGCTGCATATAAAGTGCACTGTAATAATCCATGCTAAATGGAAGCAGGGAGTGATAAATAACTGAGATATAGTATGATTTCTCTGATACTGCTGCCAACTGGTAAAATAGTTAAAAATCACTCTGATAAATGAACTCCTACAGTAAGGATGAATCCAGGAAAATTCATAAAATGTACTTTTTATCTTTCAAGAAGTAGTAGTCCCAATTATAGTTGTTTGTGCAAATTCTAAAAGACTATTTTATTTTCCTTTCAATCATGTAATTATCAGAATTAACATTCATTTTGTTCTACCTTACCAATCATGAAACTGTCTTGGAACTTTGGCTCAGCAGTGTTTCCAAGTATTACCCAATACTTGGAAACAAGAACTTAAGGTAAATGTTGTATAGTCTAAGATAGTTTGGTTTAAACATCTAACCAATTCTATTAATGATTCATTTTCAAGCAACTAAACCCTACTACTGCATGTCCATGAGGGAAATATTAATATTCCACATATTCCTGTGAAAATCAAAATGCTGGTATTTTCAAATATGTACACAATGTGCTAGCTTGATGTTCTTATTTAGCACCACATTTTGTTAATAGAAAAATGAACTTTTTCCCCCATCTGGGCAATTTCCTGGGCTGGAAGTGGGTGTTTGATTTGCTGATAATAGGAAGGAAGAAGAGAAATGTGTGTCCAGTTACAAAAGTTTTGGCATCAAAGCACGAAAGAGAGTGTTTGCTATTTGCAGATAAGGAATCAATTTTATTAAGGGCTATCTTAAATTATAAGCAAATCATATTACTTACTAGTTGACATAGATAGTTATAGTTCTGATCCTGCCTTTTTTTTCTTTTGGGTGGTATGACTTCTGACAGATATACACACACATATATACTGTATATAGTAGTCTGTACAAATATTTTGAAAGGGAATGAAAATTTCAGGACTGAGTTAAGCAAAGTTGACATCCAAAGTAGGGAAGAAAGGGATTCACCAGATCTCTCTGTCCCTCTGCATATTCCTTCCTTCCTTTTCTTTTTTGGAGAGGCTAACTTAAATTCAGAGTAATCCTTCCTTCAGAAAAATATAATGTATCCTCATTACAAAAGCTGTCACTGGTTTGATGAATATTTTATTAAGGCCTCTGGCAACTTTTCTAATTAAAAAGCACACACAATTAGTTCCTAAAATGGAAAATGTTTTATACAGAAAATGAAACTTTTTATATACTGTTGAAATTTTATTATCACATTTGTAGACTCTCAAGCAAAATTTTCATAATCATGATATTCAAGTTATGACAGTGTGATTATGTGCTACCAAACTGGTTTTGACTCTTAGTATCCACATTGACTTTCTCCATGATGATCTATTCCTTTAAGGTTTCCAATGATACACACTACAGTAACTGAATGCTGGTTGTCCTGATTTCCCTTTTCTCTTCCACTTTTTCCAGTATTATAAATGTTTCCAGGAAGGGAATCCTTGTCCAATGTGTCTAAAGCATTATAATTTGAGTCTGTTATTTGTGTAAGAAACATTACCCGTGCGATTCTCACTTTTATAAATTCTCTAATGTTCCAGATAAAACATTATCCACAAGATCAAGGAACATGAAAATTAGTTGGCTTTCTTCGTCTGCTTTAACTCAACTGAAAACTTGAACACGAGCAATTTGTCATCTGTTCCATGTCTTTATAACTGAACTCTTCCACCTTCTTCTACCAATAATGTAATCAATTTAATTTAGTAATGTCCACATATATAGGTGTTGTTTCAAATTAGGGTGAAGATATCATTGGAGGAACAGAAACTGATAAGTTTATCTCCTGCTTCCTTTTGGTTTCCTAGATCATATAGTCCAACTACATTTTCCTCCATATTTCCAATTATGACAATCACATCTTTCTTGTCCCAATTTCGAACTGAACTTAACCATAAAAACCACCAACCACCTCTTCTTCTGCCTGAGTGGATGGGGCATAAACCTGATTGTCATATTAAACGTTTTAAAGTTTAATTCATATTATTCATTCATTGACTGCACTGTAGTCAATTATACTTCTTGCTGTAGCCTGCCAAATTGGAAACAATCCACTTGTTTTTCATATCCTGAGTAGTAAACTTTGTGATCTTCTGACTGAAAGTGTCTGAACTCAGTCCATCTCAACTCACTGATGTCAGTGTTGTTCATTTTTTTTATTTTTACTGTGCTGAGCTTTTCCATGTTCATGCATCTTATGCTACATGTTCCTTCTGTAATTCTGTCTTTGCACTTTTGGGTTTTCTTTTTTCCTGCAATGCAACACCATCTACATGTCCTAAAGACTTTAATCTAGCAACATCATAAACACCAACATATTTTCATCTATTCTCAGTAAATTGTTGAATGCTATCCAACCCGAGAGGCCCATCATTTGGCACTATGCTATCAACCATTTTATGTTTTCTGTCCATGTGGTTTTCTTGTAAGACAATCATTTAAAAAAAGAGGGGCTTACCGTTGCTTTGTCCTATGCAGTGTGAAATGATGCCTTTGCCATTGTTACTGATATGATCTAGCTCCAGCAATTTTTATATCACAGCTTCCTAATATAGATGCTTGCTTGCTTTAGCTGGGCAGCTGGATGGCCTTTATCATGATATTCCCTTGGCATACCCTCCTGTGTATGTATGTATATTTTTATAATTTTAATTAATGGGTTTAATTGTTCTTTTTTCTTTTCAACTGGCACTTTGTCTATTGCTCCAGTTATCTTAGGTTTTATGGCTTCCTTTTCCCAACTGTGAGTTTGTTGGGTATATGAATACTCCAACTGGTTTGGGTTGAATAAATATGT